GGGAAGCGATTCAACACGAAATCAATGCTACCAGAGCGGGAGAAACTACTTTTGAACTTGACGGCGATCACTACACAGAACCGCCAAGCCACTGCCGCATTCGTGACAACAACCCGAGAAAAACCTCCGAGGCCAGCTCACTGTGCATTTTGTAAAAAGAGCGGACACAAGGCAATAGACTGCAGGGTAGTTTCGACAAGGCAAAACGTTTCGAAATCATCAAAAAAAAAACAAATTATGCTACAATTGCCTCGGCACACATCGAGTTTCAGATTAGTAAATCGAAATTCATGTATGCCAAACTTGCAAACGCAAACACCACACTGCGATATGCCAAGGGGAAATTCGCAGACAACCAGCCACATCGGAAGATAATGTACATACCTGTGTTTCATCTGCTACTAGCCGAAATTCTCACGTGATGTTAAAGACGGCTATTGCAGACATTACTGCCAAAGGATACTCAACACCGTTACCTGCCACACTGCTATTTGACGACGGATCTCAAAGAACTTTCATAACAGAACGTACAGCCAGATCAATCGGAATAGACTTTGAAAAATGTTATTCGGAAATAATAAATGTTTCCACACTTGGCGCAAAGTCTACAGGGTTACGATCAATGAAAATTGCAGAAATTACGGTAATTACTTCTAGTGGTTCAACTGTTGATATTCATGCATTGATTGTACCCCAAATCACTACACCTCTTAAAAATTATCTGAAATCTAGCGCCAGTCTTGCCAATTTACCCTATCTACAAGGCTTAAAATTGGCACACGCCATTTCTGGTGACCGGGAATTTGAAGTTTCAGTTCTGGTAGGTGCAGATTTTTATTATTCATTTGTTGGTGATCATGTTGTTCGTGGCCAGGGACCCACAGCAGTGTCTTCCAAATTGGGTTACTTATTATCTGGGCCATTACCACCGCAACATTCGAACCCCCTCCCCACCTCTACTGTAATGCATGTCGCTACGCACGTGTCCGGTGAAGCATGGAACTATAAACTATATAGTTCCATGGGTGAAGATTCTCTACTTCAAAATTTCTGGAATGTTGAGAACATAGGTGTTAGGGACGATCCCACCCCACAAGAAATTACTTACGATGGTTATGCCAAGTCACATTTACGCTTAGAAAAGAATCGTTATGTAGCTAAACTTCCCTGGAGCCAAGATCACGCTCCCCTACGCGTGCTATGGTACAACGACTAACACCGGAACTAAGACACGTGTACGATAAGCTTATAAAGGACCAATTAAATCGTGGCTTTATTGAAATTATTCCTAATGATGACAAGAATTCGGGTCATTATCTCCCTCATCATCCCGTGAAAAAAAACTCCGAAACAACACCAATTAGAATAGTTTACGATTGTAGTTGTAAGATCTCAAACAATCCTAGTTTAAATGATTGTTTAGAAACGGGACCTCCGCTCTTAAACGATCTTGCTTCAATTATTCTCCGTTTCCGTACACATAAATTTGGAACCACTGCAGATATCGAGAAAGCATTTTTACATGTAGGTCTTGATGAGAATGATCGAAAATTCACTAAATTCATGTGGATATCTGACCCGGACGATCCAAACAGTACATTTCAAATTTATCGATTTAAAGTAGTTCTTTTTGGCGCAGCGTGCTCGCCATTTATTCTAAATGCAGCGATTAAGTCCCATTTAGAAAATGACGGATCGGAAATTGCCACAGACCTCAGTAAAAACATTTACGTGGATAACATTCTCAGTGGACGCGATACTGAACAAGATCTCATTGCTTACCATACTGAAGCTACGAATCTCATGAAATCAAGTGGTTTCAATCTGCGCGAATGGGCTACAAACTCTCCTGAACTTAGAAAAATTGCCATAAAATCCAACAGTTCTTGTTTAGATTCCAAAGTAAATGTTCTTGGTTTGCGTTGGGATACTAATACTGATTCACTTTGTTACCCCAAAAGAGAATTTGCACAGCCGTCTAAGACTGACCTACTTATCACGAAACGGGAAGTTGTCAGGGCGACCGCCAGTTTGTATGATCCACTCGGTTTTATTGCGCCTGTACATATCAGTGCAAACATATTTATTCAAAAACTATGGAAAGCTAAACTTGAATGGGACGAACCCTTGACTACGAACTCCATGGCGAATGGGTTAAACTATGTCAAGAGTTACAAACCGTTACCCACACTCAGATTCCACGTCGCTATTTTAATTCCACAATGAGTGGCGGGACATTTGAGTTACACGTATTTACTGATGCCAGTGTGAAAGCCTACGGTGCTGTAGTTTATTTACGCAATACAATTTCGCGTGAATCTGCGCTAACAATTTCTAAGAGCAGAGTGACTCCTGTCAAACCATTGACTATCCCACGTACCGAGCTTATGGGTACATTGTTAGGAGCACGTCTCATAAAGTTCGTTTATTCAAGCCTAAATGAACAGATTAATATTGACAAGTGTGTTTTGTGGTGCGATAGTCAGATCGTCCTACATTGGCTACAAAATAACAAAAAATTACCTTGTTTTGTGCAGAATCGCATTACTGAAATCAAAACAAATGCGATAATCAATGAGTATAGATATTGTCCTACAAATGACAATCCAGCAGATATATTATCTCGCGGAATTACCCCATGCCAACTTTCAAACAATACACTTTGGTGGTATGGGCCTCAGTGGCTTAAATTCGGTGATTGGCCTGTTTGTGAAATCTTTGTCAGTCGGGTATTGCATGTCTCGGATGAAAGTACTCCGACAAACACCCATAAAGTTACGGATAAACATACTACTGAAATTATCGGTATTGCTAATGTTATTAACGCGTCCAATTACAGTTCATTAAATAAACTGTTACGTGTAAGCGCATATGTTATGCGATTTATTCATAACATAAAGGCCAAAAAGCAAGACCGACACTTGAGCACTTTAACTGCTCGTGAAATTAACTCTGCCGAAAAAATGTGGATTCACGATGCTCAAATTCACGCATGCCCTTCAGAAATTAAAGTATTGAGTATCAAACAGAAATCTACAAGCCCGTTAGCCCACCAACTTCGTTTGTTTCTTGATAGAGAGGGCTTTATTCGTGTTGGCGGCAGGCTTCACAATGCCCCAGTGAATTGTGACACAAAATTTCCAATTCTTCTCCCTAGAGGAAACCATTTCGCAAAACTTGTGGTGACCGCCGCCCATTCAAATATTAAACACTCGGGTTCCCAGGCAACAATCACACATATTCGCCAAAGGTTTTGGATTCCACAAATTCGGCCGTTTGTGAGATCGATACTGAGAAATTGTGTTGTCTGTCGGTTAGTGTGTGGAAAACCCTACAGGAAACCGATTCCTGCACCACTACAAGCATGTAGATTACGTAATGCTCCACCCTTCACCGTTACAGGTGTGGACTTTACCGGAGCCGTGTTTGTCTCGGTAGAGAAGTCAGAGCGGAAAGCCTATATCTGTTTATTCACATGCGCTGTGACTCGGGCTATTCATTTAGAATTGGTTATGGATCTCTCCACCGATACATTTTTACGTGCCTTCAGACGGTTTGCTGCGAGGCGTTCATTACCCAGTAAAATTATTTCGGACAATGGATCAACGTATCTTTCCGCAGCTAAAGAAATACAGAAATTATTCGAGTCAGCGTCAATTCAAAACTACTTTGCAAACCAACGCACCGTCCTTCATACCAAAACGTGCCCCTTGGTTTGGAGGATTTGGGGAGAGACTTATTGGTATGACAAAAACATCCCTCAAAAAAGTCCTCGGTCGCGCCTTTGTGTCTGTTGACGAACTGCAAACAGTTCTTACAGAAATCGAAGCCACACTAACTTATCTCTCCTCTGATTCCAATGATTTACTACCATTAACACCTTCACATTTTGTACATGGCCGCCTTATTACGACTATGCCGTATTACAGTGTAGATGAGGAGGAACTAAATGACCCAACATATGGCAATTTTGATAACCTCCAAAAGAGATCTGAACATTTAGCCAAAATTCAAAATCATTTTTGGAAAAGAGGGGCTCAAGAGTATCTCAATTCGTTACGCGAACAAGATAGATTATCAGGTAAAGGGGCCCTACAAAATCAAATTCGGGTGGGAGATATAGTTTTGGTGGAAGACACTTCTGTACCACGGATAAAGTGGAAACTGGCCATGATCGAACAACTGAACACCGGAAATGATGGTTTAGTGAGGTCTGCATATATCAGGACAGCCACTGGCAAGAATAGCAGACCCATTACAAAACTTTATCCATTGGAGGTCAATTATCAATTAGAAAATGGTAAAAATTACACTCCTACTGAAGGCAGTGTACAATCTAAGGTTAATGATACCAATATTGTGAGACCAACTCGCAAGGCGGCTACGAAAGCTCGCCAACGCTTTAAAGTCTGGTCATCGATTCTCTCTACA